CCTCCTCCTCCTCTTCCTCCTCCTCCTCCTCCTCCTCCTCCTCCTCTTCCTCCTCCTCCTCCTCATCATCATCATCCTCCTCATCCTCATCCTCATCATCACCATCAGCAGCAGCAGCGTCAGCAGCAGCAGAATCATCAGCATCATCATCATCACCACCACCATAACCATCATCAGCATAATCAGCATCAGCCGCATCAGAATTACCAGCATCATCAACATCATCCTCATCATCAACAGCAACACCATCCAGTTATCGTCATCAACATCATGATCATCATCATCAACAGCAACAACATCATCATCATCATCATCATCATCATCATCATCATCATCATCATCATCATCATCGGCAGCATTGTCATCATCACCGTCATCAGCATCATCACCGTCGTCTGCATCATCGTCATCATCATGATGCTCATCATCCCGATCATCGTCCTCATCATCCCTTCCATCATCATCACCTTCATCATCAACAGCACCAGCATCAGCATCATCATCACACTCATACGCATAGTCATACTCAGAATCATCATCACCACAATCATCCGAATCATCATCATAATCAGCATGAGCATCAGCGCCATCCGCATCATTTCCATCATCCTCACCATCATCATCATCGGTATCATTCCCCCCCTCTGCCTCTTCCTCCTCGTCCTCCTCCTACTCCTCCTCCTCATCAACATCATCATCATCACCACCACCGTCATCATCATCATCATCATCATCATCATCATCACCGTCATCGTCGTCGTCGCCATCGTCGTCGTCATCATCATCAGCATCAGCATCGCCACCATCATAACCGTTATCGTCATATGCATCTTCATCATCAGCATCATTATCGCCATCGGCACCGTCATCGTCATCGTACTCATCATCAGCAGCAGCATCATCATCAGCAGCAGCAACATCGTCATGCATCCGCCTGCCTCCTCGTGTCTCCTCCTGCCTCCGCCTGCTTTCCTGGTCGCGGGGGGAGGCGCTCTCTGGCGCCACAGCCCCTCAATGCTCTCTCCTCGTCTCCCCTCTGGCTCCCGCAAGGGCTCTCGGATCCCGACATCCGCGAGCGCCCGCGCCTGCGGCGGTTGCCCAAGTTCGGGAGGCGGCCTGCCCAAGAAAGTATCGCCACCACCTCTTCCGAGGAACTTCGACATCCACAGCTCGGACGGCACATCGCCATCGTCATCGCCTTGCGCACCTGCCCTGGCTGGGCCCCCCCGCGCGACCGGCACCGCTTGCTCAGGGGAGCGTCGCGAGAAAGAGGCAAAGCCCACTGGTGCCGGCAGGACGCCTGGCAGCAGTCGCCGCAGGTCCGGTCCCCCGCCCGGCCAGGCGCCCCTACAGTCGGCCTCCATTGGACAGGACGCGCGAGAGGACAAAAGACCCTTCCGAGGGCCACATTGCCGCAGGAATACAGGAGGCATGGGTCGCGAGACACGGGACACAAGGGTACCCTTGATTTGGCAGGTTCGACCTACTAATCTGGGCCGACTGCACTCCCCTCCACCGCACCGAGCCCAACCGCCAGGGGTCAGAATGATACCGCACCCCCGTGACCGAGAACAGCTCCGCCGCCAGGCCTCCTCGGGCTCCTGGCAAGGGAGGAGCTCACTGGCCCCCCTGGGAGAAAAGACCCGCGGCGCATGGCCTGCACGACCAGAGGCGGCCGCTCTCCCTTGCCTCGCGGGCCTCGGGCCCCGCCACGCTTGGGAGCGCCGGCAGGGCTGCGGGGCGGAAGCCGCGGGGGCCGCGGGTTCCCTCCGCCCGGGGTTGCACCCGCTCCGCTGGCAGACCTGCGCCCCCCTAGCCCAGACCCCCGACGTAATGAATGTTTCATTGACCCCTTCCCCAGGACCGGTTTGTCCTCCTGAGTCGTTTCTTGACGCTCCCGAGGCCCGGTGAGGGCCCCCAGAGGCCGAAAATGGCGAAAAACCTCCCGTCATGATTTTTTCCTTACTCGAAGGGGTCTGGGAGGCCAGCCCCTCGATCTCCCCAGCCTCGTCCTCGGGAGCGCGCGCCGGGGCCCCGCAGGCCCCGCCCAGCATCGAGCGGCGGCGCCCGCTCCCGAGCCCTCGCGCGAGCTCTCCCCGAGTGGCCTGTCCCCCTCCTCCTCCTCCTCCTCCTCCTCCTCCTCCTCCAACTCCTCCCTCCTCCTCCAACTCCTCCCTCCTCCTAACTCCCCTCCTCCCTCCTCCTCCTCCTCCTCCTCCTCCTCCTCCTCCTCCTCCTCCTCCTCCTCCTCCTCCTCCTCCTCCTCCTCCTCCTCCTCCTCCTCCTCCTCCTCCTCCTCCTCCTCCCTCCTCCTCCTCCTCCTCCTCCTCCTCCTCCTCCCTCCTCCTCCTCCTCCTCCTCCTCCTCTCCTCCTCCCTCCCCTCCTCCTCCTCCTCCTCCTCCTCCTCCTCCTCCTCCTCCTCCTCCTCCTCCTCCTCCTCCTCCTCCTCCTCCTCCTCCTCCTCCTCCTCCCTCTGGCCCCTCGCATGGCCCGAGCCCGCGGAGCCTGGGGGCGGCCGTCGAGCCAGCTCCTCCGAGCGGGCTCTGGCCTCGCTGCGGATCGGGGCCTCGCTCCGATAGAGCCGCCTACCCTGGACCCTGGGGCCCACCGCCCGCCGACACGTGCTCAGAGGTCGGCGTCGACGCCCTCCCTGTCGCAGAACTGCCCCCACTGCTACCGGGCGTTCGAGCACCAGTGGAACAGAGCCAGGATCGCCATTACTGACTCGTCCACGCTGGCGCGGAAGGCCCTCAGCCTGCCGGCCGCGGCGGCTTCCGGCATCCTTTGCCTTCTCTTGGCGGTAGGCGTCGCACCCCCTGGCGAGCCCCAGATGGGCCCCTGGATCGGACTGCCCCAGTGGAACGAGCGCCCCCGCGGGGTGCGGGCACGATCTCCACCCTCCCATCCTTGGCTGGGGGCCCTCGTCTCGGGGCCAGGCCCCGTCCCGCCCATGGAGCGCCCGCACGGGGCCGCCTCAGGGTCCTCGCCCAGGCGCTGAGCGCAGTGGCGGTGCCACTGGCCTGGCTCAGCGGAGCAGACCATCTGCGAGAGCCCCCGCAGGGCGACCTTCCACCCTCCGAGCGCGTGGCCTTCGACAACGGCGTCGATCTCGCCCTGGGTGACCTCTTTGAAGCACGCAGGTACCCCCCGATGGCTGGGCTCTGCCCCTGGGTGGAGTCCCCCGTGACGTCCAGCCGGAACGAGTAGGCGATGTCCAGGGCCCCCGAGAGGACCGACCCGCGGTTCGCGGGGCGCCCACCCGGGGGCGCGAACCCCTCCCCGCGGAAAGCGACGCAGGACGCCTGGGGGCCCTGCTCCTCTGGCCCTCCCTGGCGCCCCCTGACGCCCAACTTCCTGCCCGGCACTTGCCGGGTGGCGCGCGGCGGGGCCGCGGGCGCAGGCGGCGGCGCGGGAATCGCCCGGCGACGCCGCCGGGCGCACCGAAGCCTTGGTGGCCGTCCTGCCAGATCCCTCCCGCGGCCTCGAGCTGGACCGCGAACGGCGCGCGGGGGCCCTGCCGCCCGACGCCTGCGCCTCGCTGCAGTGCCTTGAGGCACGCGAGGGCGCCGCTCACCTGCTGCGGCCCCAGGGACAGGCACCCGTGACAGCCGCACCGGTGGCCTCCTCGGCGTCGCCTGTACATCTCCGCGAGGTGCCCGCAGAGTGGCACGGCCACAGTCTTACCCTCGGCGGCCTCGATGCAGCACGTCGGGGGTGCACACCTTGCACTTGCAAGGGGATGCCCCTCCGAGGGCGCAGAAGGGGCCCGAACGGGCCAGCCACCCTGTTCGGGGTGCCGCGCACAACACTCTCCGACTCCTCCGAGCGACCTGGCCCCCAAGGCACCCGTCGCTTTCGTCGCCGACAGCCTCAGCTGCAGCAGGCAGGGCACGGGCATCCCGCCACGCTGCAGAAGCGCGACAACGCCCCGAAAGGCCATCCGCGCGAGGAGCTGGGCCGGCCATCCCAGGAGCCCGCAGCACGCGCAGGGAGGGCTGCCAAGCGGGAATCCCTCGTGGACGCTCGGGAGCAGCTCGGAGCCCACCCCGCGCAGGAGCTGGCCGTGCGCCACGGCGTCTCCCTTGAGTTTGCAGGGACGCCCGCGGCTCGGCAGCTGTGGATCGGGGGGGCGCCCTCCCGACACTGCCGGGGCGGGTGCAGCCCACGACGGCGGAGCACCGGAGGAGCTGCCCATCCTGACGACCCGCTCCCGCCGCGCCCGCCCCGCCTCGACGACGGCCAGCGCGGCGGCCGGGAGCCCGGCGCCGGGCCCCCGTCGCCCCGCGGCCCGGCAGGAGTCGGAGGCGGCGGTGCGCCGGCCGCCTGGGCCCCTCCAGCCCGCGCCCTCGGGCGCCGTCGCCTCGGGTGCGGTCGGGGGGGCGCCCCGCGGGGCCAGAAGGGCGAGGCCCCAGGACCCGCCCGGAGCACCAGCGCGGAGCAGCCGTCCGGCGGGGGCAAGTATGCCCGCATCCAGATCTGCGTGCGGTGGAGGAGGAGGGGGAGGAGGAGGAGGAGGAGGAGGAGGAGGAGGAGGAGGAGGAGGGAGGAGGAGGAGGAGGAGGAGGATGGAGGACGAGGAGGAGGAGGAGGAGGAGGAGGAGGAGGAGGAGGAGACACAGGAGTCACGGGTTGAGGCGCGAAGCCTCAGTTCCCCAGCGGATCATCCAGGGCTCATAGGGGAGCGCCACCTTCCTGCTCCATGGTGGCGGAGCCGGTAGGGGGAATCTGGCCCCGCACAGTTCGGCTTGATCCCGCGGGAGCTCCAGCTCCGAGGGCCCCGCCGGCCTCTTGTGCACCAAATCTGGGCGGCTCCTCCGGCGCTGCCCCGAGGTCGGGCTCGGGCGACCCATCCTCCGTGAACGGGAGGGTGCCCAGAGGTCCGACGCATTGAAAAAAACAAGACCGGTGTTTTTCGCACATTTCGGCCCCTAGGGGCCCTCGCTGGGCCTCGGGACCGTCGAAAAACGACTCAGGATGAAAAACCGGTCCTGGGGAATTGGTCGAGACTTCTGGGGACCCCGCATTGAAAAAATCACGACGTCGGATCTCTGGGTGCACATGCACCCCGGTTCCGCCTCGCAGCCGTCGGGGTGCAGAGCAGGCACCTGTGGCTGCCCAAGGGCGGGGCTCACAGAAAGTGCCCGTGCCCCGCGACACCAGCCCCTGTAGGGGTTTGGGCTGGCTCGGCCGTCCACGGGGAGCCGCCCACGATGATCGAATCCCTCCGACGGTTGGCCGCAGATGCGACCGCCGCCCCCGCGCCGAAGGCGAGGGCGGCCGTTGCGAGCCACAAGGGGGCGAGTGCCGCCTGGACGGGGGAAGTCCCGGGCAAACCTGCCCCGGGCGATGGCTACGAGCATGCCCCTCCGCAGGGCGCGCGGCGCGGGGCGGACACGGGGGCCTCAAGCCCCTTCCGCAAAGGAAACAACGGCCCGAGCCCGAGGCGGCTGCGGAGGGGGAGGGAGAAGAAAGAGATCCCTGCGCGGCCCCAGTCACAATGGCCTAGGGCAACCCTCCGAGTACTACAACGAATAACTCCTCCCTGTCGCACCCCGAGGCGTGTCGGTAGGGTGGGCCAGGCGTTTCGCTTGCGACGTGCTCACTACGTACAAACCTGAGGGTTGCACTTCAGGACGGCTTCGCTGATGGAGAGCCGGCCGCTCTTTTGATGTAGCTCTCGCCATGGCCGCCGCGCACATTCGTCTCAAAGTCTGCCAGACCTTCGCGAGTGGAGGGCAGCTGCCGAGCACATTCATATTCAAAGTGTACCGCAGCTTCAAGGATTGAGGGCGGACCTTCTTCAGCACATGTTCCTCTCGTCTTAGCGCCGCGTGCACGTGTATGGGAAGATCCCACGAGCTTCACGGATGAAGGAGGTTCGTTTTCAAAATGTTGTTCTCGCCTCATCGCCACTTTCTTGGTCGGCGGGTCGGGAGCGGGCCCCTTCCAGTCAAGAGCTAAGCGGGGCGCGCGAAGCCCTAATTGGGGAGACAGGGCGCGGGCGGGCGGGGCCTCAGGCGGCCGGAGGGTGCAGAGTACAGGCGGTGCCGAAGATCTTGCACAGGACAAGGTACGCCATGGACTGGAGCAGGGGGCGAAGTCCCAGAGGGAGAGTGGGCTGGTGTGCCGTCATCGGCGCGCCAAGAACAGCTTAAAATGTGCCACAGCTTCAAGGATGGAGGGCGGATCCTTTTCGAATGTTGCCCTCGCCGTTGCGCCGCGCACGTTCGTCTTCAGAGTGCTTCTCGGACGGAGGGCGGCTCCGTCTTCAAAATGTGGCCCTCGCCTTAGCACCTCTCGAACGCTCGTCTTTTGAAGTTCGCAAGAGATTCCCGCATGGAGGGCGGCTTCAAGATATGTGAGCATCGCCTCAGCGTCGCGCACATTCGTCTGCCAAGTGTGCAACAGTTTCAAGGATTCGCATGGTGGAAGTCCCAGGAATGGTTTTCTGGCACGACTCGGTATCGTCAGGGCGCAACAGACAAGCTCACTCACAATGTCGAAGCCCCAGGAACAGATTTCTGGCACGACGTACGAGTGCAAGGACGCAACAACCGCGTTGATTCGCAGCGCTGAAGTCCCAGGAATGGTGTTGCGGCACAAATATGGATTCTCAGACGGTTGTCTTCCAAAGGGGGCAATTCCCGATATTCAAATATATACTTGTAAAGATCTGTGAAGAGGGAACTTGGCGAGAGCGTGTATAGCAACATCGCTGATGCGTCTGAATTTACGCTGGTCCGAATCCTCCTCCTCCTTTTCCTGCTTCCTCCTACCTTCTCCTTCTCCTTCTCGTCTTCCTCTTCTTCCTCTTCTTCCTCCTCTTCCTCCTCCACCTCATCCGCCTTCTGCCGTTCTGCCTTCATCAGCCTCCGTCTCCTCTTCCTCGTCCTCCTCCCACCATCGTCTCATCGTCGCTGCTGTCCTCCTCCACCGACTCCTCCCACTCTTCCTACTGCCTCCTCAACCGTCCTCGTCGTAGTCGCCGACCTTCTCCTCCTCCTCCTCCTCCTCCAGCCTCCTCCTCCTCCTCATCCTCCTCTTTTCCTCCTTCTCTTCCTCCTCCTCCTCCTCCTCCTCCTCCTCTTCCCCCTCCTCCTCCTCCTTCCCCTCCTCCTCATCATCAGCATCACAATCATACTCAGAATCATCATCATCATCATCATCATCATCATCATCATCATCATCATCATCATCATCATCATCATCAGCATCATCACCATAATCAGCAGCAGCAACAGCATCATTATCATCAGCAGTATTATCATCATGATCATCATCGTCATCATTAATCATATCAGCCAGGGCTGGCTCCAAATAGATAGGATGACAGGAGGAGGACGAGAGGAGGATGGGAGGAGGACGAAAGGAGGACGGGAGCAGGACGGGAGGAGAACGGGAGGAGCAAAATTAAAGAAGCGCAAGCAAGAAAGCGGAAGCAAGCAAGCGCAAGAGAGCAATAACAAGCTAGCAAGAGCCAGCGATCAGGTGCAAGCAAGCAAGGGCAAGCAGGAGCAAGCAAGCGAGAGCAAGCACGCAAGAGCAAGCAAGCGAGTGGCATTGGAAAAAGAGGGGGTACCATTGGAAAAAGGGGGGCATTGGAAAAAGAGGGTGGGCTAAAAGCCAACTAGTCATGATGAGGTAGGACTCCTACAGGGCAAGCCTATTTGGAGAATTACCATCATCCTCATCATCAGCAGCAGCATCATCAACACCACCACCACCACCACCACCACCATCATCATCATCATCATCACCACCACCACCACCACCACCATCATCATCATCATCATCATCATCATCATCATCATCATCATCATCAGCAGCATCAGCATCAGCATCATCATCATCATCATCATCATCATCATCAGGATCATCATCATCGTCGTCATCATCGTCGTCATCATCAGCACCAACACAATCATCATCCGATCATCATGAACATTACCATCGCCGTCATCACAAGCATCAAGGGCATCATCACCACCACCTCCACCGCCATCATCATCACCATCATCATCAGCATCATCATCAACATTATCATCATCACCCTCAGTATCACCATCATCATCATCATCATCATCAGCAGCATCATCATCATGATCATCATCATCATCATCATCATCATCATCATCATCATCATCATCACCACCATCGTCATCATCAGCATCATCATCATTATCGTCGTCGGCATCGTCGTCGTCAGCAGCAGCATCGTCATCACCACCACCACCACCATCAACAACAACAACATAATCGGCATCATCACCCTCAAGATTAACATATCCAGTGCCATAATCGTCTGCATCATCATCCTCAACATCGTCATCATCAGCATCATCAGCATCACCATCAACATCAGCAGCGTCATCAGCAGCAGCATCATCAGCATCAGCATCATAATCATCATCCTAATCATCCACAGCATCCTCCTCATCATCAGCGTCCTCATCATCATCATCATCATCATCATCATCATCATCGTCATCATCGTCATACTCATCATCACCCTCCCCCTATCATCATCATCGACATCAGCATCATCATCACCACCATCATCATAATCATCAGCATCGTCATCGTCGTCGGCATCGTCGTCGTCAGCCGCATCATCGTCATCGCCATCATCATCGCCATCAATATTAACTTCATCAGTGACGTGATCGTCTGCATCATCAGCATCATCGAAATCACCATCATCATCATCATCATCATCATCATCATCATCATCATCATCAGCGGCAGCATCATCAGTATCATCATCAGGATCAGCATCAGAATCATCATCATGATGATTCCCAGTATCCTCATCATGATCATCACATTAGCGTCCTCATCCTGAACATCAGATTCATCATCATCATTATCTTCGTCGTCATCATCCCCACCACCACCATCATCGTCACCACCGCCATCATCGTCATCATCCGCATCATCATCATCATCATCATCATCATCATCATCACCACCACCACCATCATCATCATCATCAGCATAATCATCATCATCATCATCATCATCATCATCATCATCATCATCATCATCATCATCATCATCATCATCCCGCCCCGTGCTGCTCATGCGCCATTTCCGATCGCGCCTTCAGCCCACAAGGGGGGTCACGAAGTTCTGGTTAAGGTTCCTGTGCAGGTTCTCCAGGGAACCTTCTATGCGCTGCATCTCTGTGTGAAGGAATTTGCGCATCTGAACAAGGTCTTGCACCTTGGCGTCGTTTCTGCCACGCAACCCGAGCACCACGGAGAGCAGCTCAGAGAAAGTGAGGGCATCCTTGTTGCGATAAATCCAGTCCGCGTGGTCGATGAGCGCGATGGGATCCACCCCAACCTCTTTCAGTTCCTTGGCGCAGCCGTCTTTGTTGAGCATAGTCTTGAACTCGTTCACGTCGAATATGCAGTCCCCGTTCGTATCTGCCTCGGGCGCCCACTTCTCTAGCACGCGCTTCACTGCGGCCACCTGGTTCGTCTCCTTCTCGACCGACGCGACCACCGAGACGACCTCGACCAGAACGCCGATCCGCCGACCCCTTGAGCTCTACGGCGTGTGAGGCTACTGCCCCTCCTCAAACTCCTCCCCATGGGGGCTCCGTCCGGCCAGTGTGGAAGAGGGGAGGAGGAGGAGGAGGAGGAGGAGGAGGAGGAGGAGGAGGAGGAGGAGGAGGAGGAGGAGGAGGAGGAGGAGTGGAAGAGGGGGGGCCCGGCGAAGTGTGCAGGCGGGCCCAGCGGCCCTGGCAGTCTCAGACCTGCTGGTGGACGGCGGCCGACGCCTTCGAAATGGCTCACGCGGGTCTCTAGACGATTCCAGACGGCACCCTCTCGCCCTGTGATGGCTCCAATCAAGACAGCCCACGAAGCCTCCAAACTCCCTCCGGGAGACGCTCAAGGAAACTAACATTTTTGGCAAACTAGTTCAGAGATTTTGACCCCCGACTCGAGACGGGCCAAGAGGCTTTCAGTGGGTTCCACGACGCCTCCAGGCGGCGCAGGGACGGCCCAAAAGGCGCTCAAGACAGCCCCAGAGGACGCCGAGACGGGCTCAAGACCACCCAAGATGGCCCCATGACCGCCCAACACGGGTCCCACCCAGCCCAAGATGGCCCCAATACGGCCGGCAAGCCGCCGCAGACGGCCCATGAGAACTCCAGGAGGCCCCTGTAGACGCTCCAAGCTGGGCCCCAAAGGACTTCCCCCCGAGGACCCAAACAAGCCCGAGTTGCCTCTTTCTTTTGGACGCCTCACACTTCGGCAAACTGCGTCAGAGGCATGGACCTTTGGCCCGAGACGGTCCAAGACGCGTCCAAGATCGCCATACGACGTCTCCCGATGGCCCCGGGGCGGCCCAGGAGACGCACAAGATAGCCCATCCATACCAAAATGGCCGTCATACGGCCCACAAGGCACCGCCGACGGTCACAGACTCAATGCGACGCCAGATGGCCCTAAGACAGCCCAAGATGGCCCCAGGAGGACCTGAAGAGGCCCCCAAGGTGCCCCAGAGGGACCCAAGGGTGCCCCAAAGAGCACCTCGAGAGACAAAAAATGATTGGTATTCCCTACGTTTTGTAAACATTATAGCGTTCTCGCCCTTTTCGACTCTCAGGGGCCCATGACAGCCGAAGCAGCCCCCAAAATGGCCCCAAGACGGCCAGAGTGGTCCGCAAGAATGCCCCAAGACGGCCCAAGAGGGCCCCAAGACAGCCCAAAGAGACCCCCAAGAAGGTCCAAGAGGCCCCCAAGACGGTCCAAGAGGGCCCCAAGAGAGCCCCAAGACGGCCGCGAGAGGCCCACAGGACGGCCTCCAAAGGGGCCAAACGGCGCAAGAGGGCCCCAAGACGGCCCAAGACGCCCCCAAGACGCCCCAAGAGGCCCCAAAGAAGCCCCAAGAGGCCCCAAGAAGCCCCGCGAGGGCCAAACGGCGCAAGAGCGCCCCAAGACGGCCCAAGACGCCCCCAAGACGCCCCAAGAGGCCCCAAAGAAGCCCCAAGAGGCCCCAAGAAGCCCCCAAGAGGCCTCCAAGAGGCCCCAAAGAGGCTCCCACCAGGCCCCGCAACGACTGAACTGTACGTGATCCGGATGTGCACCCCGCGATGCGAAAGGAATCCGCGTCCAGAGGTGACGTGCTGAGCAGCAGCGTCGTTCGGCGCACGCCTTAGAATGTAACGAATCCAACGAATCCAAGTATTGACTCATGAGTGCTACATACTGTACTGCATTGAATTATAAAGTAACCCCCCTACCCCCCCGCCCCCGAGACCACGCCACTTCCGCCAACCAGGGTGCAGCCCCCTACCATGTTTCGGCCGTCAAAAACAACAATAACATATGACACATCGATAATTTGGGCCCCTTGGGCTCGTGTTGGGACCCTTGGGCCTCGTGGGGGTCCAAGAGGGCGTCAAGACGGCTCAAGATGGCCTCAGTACTGGCCAAGACAGCCCCAAGACAGTCCAAGATGGCCCCAAAAGAATCCAAAAAGGCCCCCTAGACGCTCCAAGAGGGCCCCAAGAGGACCCGCGAGAGCGCGTCCAGAGGCTAAAATCATTGATTTAAAACCGTTTGGAAACCATTTTAGCATTCTCACATATTTCGACTCTCAGAAGCCCATGACGACCCAAGCAGCCTCCAAAACGACCCCAAGACAACCCAAGAAGCCCCTAAGAGGGCCCCAAGACGGCCCAAGAGGGCCCCAAGACGGCCCCAACAGAGCCACAGGACGGCCGCGAGAGGCCCACAGGACGGCCTCCAAAGGGGCCAAATGGCGCAAGAGCGCCCCAAGAAGGCCCAAAACGCCCCCAAGGCGCCCCCAAGACGCCCCCAAGACGCCCCAATGAAGCCCCAAGAGACCCCAAGAAGCCCCCAAGAGGCCCCCAAGAGGTCCTCAAGAGGCTCCCACCAGGCCCCGCAACGACCGAACTGTACGTGATCCAGACGTGCCCCCCGCGAAGCGAGAGGAATCAGCATGTTCATGATGGTCACGTAGGCTAGCAGCACAAAAATAAAGAAGAACGCGGCGAAGAAGATGTCCTCCGCCGCCATGTCCTCGGTGGTCGGCTTGAAGTCCGGGAGGATGCCGCCGAGCAGCAGCGTGCTCATGGTGGTCAGCATGTCGGAGCAGATGCTCCTCTCCAGGTCGGTCCCCTTGGCAAGCTGGGTGAAGACGATCGCGAACATGTATACCCGCCATGGCGCCCCCACGGCACCACGCCGAGGCGCGGTCGGAAGGCCAAGCACTGTCTGGCGCGATCCTGCAGGTCTTCCTGGGACCCCCACACCCTCGCCTCACGCCCACGCGCATGCATCGCCCCCCCCCCCACACCCCCTCCCGAGGTCCCCTGGGCACCCCAGCGCCTCCCCGGCGCTCTCCCAAGGCTCCCGGGATGCCCAGGATGGCTGCCAAGACGGCCACCGAGCAGCGACCACCCAGAATGCCGAGCTGGCGCCCCTGAGATCCGAGGCTGCGACAAAATGGCACATCGCGAGGATCACCCCCATGTTTCTGCGGCATTTTTCGAGACGGACCCATCTGTGATGGCCCCAGGGCCCCCAAACCACAAAAAAACGCGCGGTGCGAAAAAATGCAACGCGCAGATCTCAAGGACGGTGGCGGCACTTGCCGCAGGCAGCTGGATCAACATGATCAGGAGGCACATGATCACGACGACCGTCCGGGCGACGATCACGATCCCGCGGCCGATCACCATCAGCTCCGGCACCGCCTTGAGCAGGCGAGCGACGCGCGCGGCGCGCGTCATGCGGAAGAGCCGCACCACGCGGAGGACCGACGTGGAGCTAGAGCTGGCGGTGAGGGACCCCGAGGTCATCCACACGAGGACGGAGAGGGTCGGCGGAGCGCCCACGGGGGGTGGGAAGGGCAGAGGGGGCGGGGCGTCTCCGAAGGCTCAGGCGGCCCGAGAGGCCCCCCGAGGATCGTCTTCTGTGCCATGCCTCATGCTATGTTTGCTGCTTTTTTTGTCCGAGGAGCGTGCTGAGCCCTCTCCAGGGGCAGGGAGGGCTTCCCTGGGGGCCGGAGAGGGCCGGTGAGGAGCGCCGCCGCCTGGCGAGGAAGGCCTCTGCCCCCTCTCCCCTTCCCCTCCCCCCGGCGCGCCGCCAAGATAATCCAGGTCTCGAAGACCATGCAGGCGACGATGATGGAGTCGAAGATGAACCAGGAGTCCTTCACGACGTCCGCCTTTGCCCTGAACGCCAGGAACCTGACGAGCAGCTCCACGAAGAAGAAGGTGCAGAAGAAGTTCTCGACGACGATGAAGGGCGCGTCGGCGTTCACCAGCAGAGTCTCGTCGTTGTAGTCCGTCTCCACTGCGAGCCACACCGCGTTTGCGAGGATCACGACGAGGGAGGCGCTGTCGAAGAGCCAGCTCCGCGCAATGGCCTGCGAGCACCCCTCCTCCTTGTAGTAGTTCCTCACGTCGTAGTCGGGCTCCAGAATCATCTTCTGGACCTGCAGCTTCATCTGGTCCGCGTTCGCGAAGACCTGCCGCTCAGTGCGCCGCGTCGACTGCTTCCTCCTCGTGGCATGAGCGTTGCACAGAAAATGACGAACGAACAACACGCGCCGATGTCCATGGCGGGGTCGGAGGGAGGAGAACCGGCTATGGGTAACTATGGGTGCGGGTTGTCGGACCCTGGGGGAGGCTCCCGTTCGAGCGGGGACCCCCATCCGACAACACGCGCCCATAGCCCCCGCCGCCCCCCATGTGGGTATGGGTGCGTGCTGTTCGCTCTTCAGACGAACCGCCACGGCCGGAACTTCGTCGATTTCTGCCTCAGGGGGGCGTTTCCTGGCCCTGGGACTGTCAAATCAATAATCGGGATGAAGAGCCGGCCCTGGGGACGTGGTCGCTGCGGTCAGGATGAAGAGCTGGCAGGCCCTGGAGGGGACATGGCCGCCCCTGCGGACGGATTCAGCAAAACGAGAGGTGGCGCTCTGCACAGCAAAAAAGAGAGGCGGCCCTGGGGACGTGGTCGAGATCCCCCCCGGGGGGGGCAGGCCTCACGCAAAAGCTGCAACGCGCGGGAGGAGAGGGACCAGGGTCCTGGGGGGGAGTGGGTCCCGTGGACCCCGGGGCCTTCCCCCAACCAGCCACTCCTCCCGAGGAGCTGTGCGACAGCCCCAGGGCCTGGGAGCGGCCCAGAAGAACCACTTCCCCTCGGGACCCGCTTGCCCAGACACCCGCAGGTGTGAGCTTGTTCCTGGCCCGCGGCCTCGAGGAGGCCCCGACCCCTCCCGACCGGTCTCAGGCTTGCCCCAGCTCCGCCAGCTCGGCCAGCCAAACCAAAAGGACAGCCCCATGGGACGAGGGCGGGTCCTGGAGCCCCACGCGGCGCCCGGGGCGAGCCCGGCGAGGTCGGACGCGGCCCGCCGCAGCGCGGACTTGGGCGCCGTCGTCCCGGGCGGCCGCGGCCGCAGCGGCTGCGCCGTCGGCGGGGGCCCCTCGCAGGCGAGCTGCTCCAGGCTGGCCCGGGGGCTCGCCCGGGGCGACCTGCCCCGCGCGGTCGAGCCCCACGCCGAGACCGGCACGTGCGAGCCCGACCTGCTGGGAGGGCGCGAGCACGGCGCGAGCGCGCGGGGTCCCCGGCCGGGCCCAGCCCCCGGACCGCGCGAGAGCGGGCCCGAGTCCTGGGCCCAGGCTCGGCGCGCCCAGATCTCCGGCGGCATGGTGCCTGCAGTCCTCCTCCTCCTCCTCCTCCTCCTCCTCCTCCTCCTCCTCCTCCTCCTCCTCCTCCTCCCCCTCCTCCCTCCCCCAGCTCTCCTCCTCCTCCTCCCTCCTCCTCCTCTCCTCCTCCTCCTCCTCCTTCCCCTTCCTCCTCCTCCTCCTCCTCCTCCTCCTCCTCCTCCTCCTCCTCCTCAGCCTTCCCTCGATCTGGGCCTTTCTCTTTTTTCCTTCCGAGGCCACCGAGCACACCCGTGCTGGGCGAACTGGGAGGAAGAGGTGGCGTCCAAGCTCGACCTGCGCCTCTGGGGCCCGTGGGCGGGCGCCCGGAGTGCAGCGCCAGAGTCGGACGGAGGCCTCGGGGCAAAGAGCTGACCAGAGGGGGAAGGGCCGGGACCTCTGGGGCCGCGCCTTGGAAAAGACATGTCGCCGGATGTCTGGGCATGAACCTTCTTGTGGGCCAGGGGGCTACATGCACCGATCAGGGGCCAGGGATCGGTCAGGGTCGGTGCAGGTGCCGAGCTGGCGCCCTGGAGACCCCTGCGGCACGACGCGGCGGCCAGCGAGCGCGGCCTCGCGGACCGTCGGGTGCTGACCCTCGTGCAGGCCTGGCGAGCTGGCCGTCCTCTCGACGCCAGCGCCCTCCTGTGGCGCGCGCAGGGGAGCCCTGGCCCCCCCGGGGCCGCGGAAAAATCACGACGGGAGGCTACTGGCAAGTCTCGTCCCCAGGGGGCCCTCGCCTGGCCCCGGGACCGTCGACAAACGAGTCAGGATGAGAATCCAGCACCGGGGAAGGAGCCGAGCCCTCTGGGGCCCCACGCTGTGGAAAAAAAAAAAAAAACAAAAAAAAAAAAAAAAAAAAAAAAAAAAACATCACGTCGCGGGGGGTACTGGGGGGCAGCACGAAGGGGGGACGGCCTGCGAAGAAGGCAGGGAGCTCCGTAGTAGGCCTGCTCGTGAGCCCCAGGGCCCTTCCGAGAAGGCCCCCGCCTTCTGACCCAGAGATCCGACGTCGTGATTTTTTCCATACGGGGTCCCCGGAAGTCTCGACCCATTCCCCAGGACTGGTGTTTCATTCTGAGTCGATGTTTGACGGCCCCAAGGCACGGCGAGGGCCCCTAGGGGCCGAAATTTGCGAAAAACCTCCGTCTTGTTTTTTTCAATACGTTGGATCTCTGGGGAGACGCCCCCCCCAACTTGAAAGGAGGCCACCCCCCTCGTGCTACCCCCCCGTGCGCGACGCCAACTCCTTCTGGCCGTCGGGCTCGAGGCAGTCCAGGGCCTCGTCGACGCAGATCGCGTGCTTGGACGCCAGGTGGTAGCTCTCGTGCAGGGCGGGCGAGCTGGCCGCCTTCTCGGGGCCGGCGCCCTCCCTCTGCGCTTCGGGCTCGAGGCAGTCGAGGGCCTCGTCGATCTGGTCGAGGACCCGGCTCAGCCGCGACTGCTCCTCTCGGCGGCGAGCCCCAGGGGGGAGGCGAGGAGGAGGAGGAGGAGGAGGAGGAGGAGGAGGAGGAGGAGGAGGAGGAGGAGGAGGAGGAGGAGGGGAGGGAGGTAGGAGGAGGAGGAGGAGGAGAGGAGGAGGAGGAGGAGGAGGAGGAGGAGGAGGAGGAGGAGGAGGAGGAGGAGGAGGAGGAGGAGGAGGGGAGGAGGAGGAGGAGGATGGGGAGGGTGAGGCGGAGAGAGGAGGAGGAGGAGGAGGAGGCGGAGGAGGAGGAGGAGGAGGAAGATGAGGAGGAGAGAAGGAGGAGGAGAGAGAGAGGAGAGGAGAAGAGAGAGGAGAAGGAGGAGGAGAGGAGGAGGAGGAGGGAGAGAGGAGGGAGAAGGAGGAAAGGAGGAGGAGGAGGAGGAGGAGGAGGAGGAGAGGAGGGAGGAGAGGGAGGAGGAAGAGGAGGAGGAGGAGAGGGAGGAGGAGAGGGGAGGGGAGGGAGGGAGGAGAGGAGGAGGAGAGAGGAAGAGGAGGAGGAGAGGAGGAGAAGGTGGAGGGGAGGAGGAGGGGAGGAGGAGAAGAGGTGGGAAGCGAGGAGGAGCAGGCCTTCCCAGAAGGCTCGGAAGTCCCCCGGCCTTCTGCGAAGCGCTCTGAGCCTTCCACGAAGACACCGAAAACTCCTCAGAGAAGGCGCGGGGGTTTCCGAAGAGTCCGGCCGCCGTCTGCGACGGCCCTCTCCTCCTCACTTCTCCCCCTGGCGCGCCGCTGATCCTCGGCGAGCGTGGCTCGAAGACTGCCCAGCTTACTTCTCGCTGCCATGGCTCTTCCTGCGCAGGCGCCGGCCGCGCTTAAAACTGCCGCCGGCCGTACCAGGCGGCCGCGGCGGCACCTCGAGCCAGTATGGTTTGACCAAAGTGGCTGCGGAGGGGAACGGGAGGCAAAGAGAGCGGTTCGTCTCCGCGCGGTCGAAAAGAAAAGTATGAAGGAGATGGCACGTGGCGGATTCTGGAAACCCTGAACCCAAAAACGTTTTCATCTCTTGGGGGCGCATCCTTTACTTCCCCCGCCTTCCGCAAGCCTTCCGCTGGCTTCCGCCAGCGGAGGCGGCCTCGTTTTACTTCCGCTGGCCTTCCGCCGCCCTTCCGCCGCCTTCCGTGGCGGAAGAGATGACAACTCCAACGATCCTCGAAGGCACGAAAGCAAAGCCAGTCTTGAAAGGGAGATCTCAGCGTTCTGGTAATGTTGCGTGGGAAGTCCAAGACAGGGGAAAGGGGTAACACGCAGGGGTCGAATAAGGGTCATCAAGTAGAGGAGAAGCGGCAGGTTGGGCAATGAGCTATGTAATCGGCCCTCGGCTTCCATTCGAAGCCCCAACTCGGCCCCCGCCGCGCGCTAGGCCTGGACGACGACGACGACGACCTCCGCGCCGCCCTGGCCGCCGCGAAGGGCAGCCGACGAGGGCCGCCGAGGGCCCGCCGAGGGGCCGCCCGAGGACCCACCGCGAAGGGCCGCCACGAACGCCCGCCCGGAACGACCGGCGGCGGGCGCTCGCGGCCTGGGGGCCCCGCATGTGGCGCCGATTGGAGCTCCGGGCGATGAGCACCCCGCTGCCCACCAGGGCGGGTGGCGCGGTGGGGCGTGCCCTCCAACTCCTCTTTCTCCCCCTCCTCCTCCTCCTCCTCCTCCTCCTCCTCCTCCTCCTCCTCCTCTCCTTCCTCCTTCCTTCCTCCTCCTCTCCTCCTCCTCCTCCTCCTCCTCTCCCTTCCTCCTCCTCACCTCCTCCTCCTCCTCCTCCTCCTCCTTCGCCTCCTCTCCTCCTCCTCCTCCTTCCTCCTCCTCCTCCTCCTCTCCTCCTCCTCCTCCCCCTCCTCCTCCTCTCCTCCTCCTCCTACTCTCCTCTCCTCCTCCTCCTCTCCTATCCTCATCCTCCTCCTCTCCTTCCTCCTCCTCCCCCCCTCCTCCTCTCCGCCTCCTCCTCCTCCTCCTCCTCCTCCTCCTCCTCCTCTCCTCCTCATACTCCTCCTCCTCCTCCTCCCTCATCCTCCTCCTCCTATCCTCCTCCTCTAGGGCGGAGACCGTGCACACATCGGCCATCCTCCTCCTCCTCCTCCTCCACCAACCTCATTCCTCCTCCTCCACCTCCTCCTCCTCCTCCTCTCCACTCCTCCACCTCCTCCTCCTCCTCCTCCTCCTCCTCTCCTCCTCCTCTCCTCCTCCTCCTCTTCCTCCTCCTCCTTTCTCCTCCTCCTCCTAGGGCGGAGACCGTGCACCACATCGGCCATCCTCCTCCTCCTCCTCCTCCTCATCCTCCCTCCTCCTCCACCTCCTCCTCTCCACCTCCTCTCCGCCTCCTCCTCCTCCTCCCTCCTTCCTCCACTCCTCCCGCTCATATTATCCTCCTCCTCCGACTTCCTCTTCCTCCCCTAGGGCGGCAAGCCCCGTATGCACACATCGGGCATCCTCCTCCTCCTCCTCCTCCTCTCCTCCTCCTCCTCCTCCTGCTCCTTCCTCCATCCTACTCCTCTCCTTCCTCCTCCTCCTCCTCCATGCATCTCCTCCTCCCGTCCGATCATCCTCCTCCTCCGCCTCCTCCTCCTCCTCCTCCTGGTCCTCATCATCCTCCTCCTCTTCCTGTCGCCGAGACGGGGCCCAGCGCAGGTGCCCGCGGCTGAGGAGTGATTCGACGAAACGGCCGCGTGTCTCAAATTCTTCTCGTCGGCGCTCCATTTGGGGAGGGAGCGGAAAGCTGACTAGGATGACGAGCGCAAGCGGCACCTGACAGCTCTCAAAGACGCCGCCCGACACGTGCGCGATATGGAGTTCAATCCCGATGGGATTCAATCGGGCGGTCCCAACGCAGGCAACCTGAGCTAGCAGATGGTGGAAAGCCTCGGGGACCCCAGAGCAACGCGCGCTGTACAGGAAGAGGCGCCAGCCTGAATCTGGGCACTCCTTGTTGCCACAACAGCGGACGAGGGGAAACAAGAGAAGGCTCGCTGGAGCAAAAAAAAAAAACTGGGAACGAAACATCGGCAATCCGAACGGTCGGAGCTGGCGTACCAGGCAGCACTGTCAAGAAGGGAAGGACGGCGTCGGAGGAGGGGAAGGGGGAAAGCAGGATGCCCGCGACCAGCACATCTAGGTTTACACGCGGCCCGAGAATAAAAAACTGTGGTTCGAATACGACCCAAGAAGGTTCAGGCACAAAGGCGGAGGAGGAGGAGAACCAGGGATGGCAAAATAGTGGGGAGGCCGTATCGCGTGACTCCTTAGCCTGCGACGATAATTCTGCCCTTGCCCATTATCGGTGGCCACGCCAAGTGTCTGCGCACCGTGTACCAAGGAATTTGGCTGGGCCCCCTGTAGAAGTTCAGCCTGAGCCACTTTGCGATGCTTCCTTAGCGCGCCCCTGCGGAGCATGCGCCTCGAACGCGCGGGCTCGACGCACAGCAAGGGGCTTCCACGCAGAAGCTTGGGGTGAGGCCTACCTCTGCCGCGACCTCTGTTCGAAGCGCCCCATTGCCCGCCCCTGACTCCTGCTCGTCCTCAAAAGCGGGCAGGAGGTCATCTCCTGACGTCATCCCTAAGTGATCTAGCATTGGCCACGCGTGCCCACGCGTCGCGCGTCGTTGCCTTCAGTCCGCGCGCGCCGGCTCGCGCCAGGCGAACGCGGCCGCCCCCCGCGCGCACCAACGCCTCACTTCGCGCCCTTGTCGGCGGCGCTTCCACGGGGCAGGGGCAAAAGCTGGGCGCCCCCCAGAAGGCCCAGAAGGCCCCTGGCCTTGTGGCATTGCGCTCTGCATGCCCCGACGACAACGAACACGGCCCTGAGGGCCACGGCGCCTCTGCAAAGCCACGCCTCCGCCTGAAAGGGCCTGCCCCCTCTCGCCCCCCTGGGCGCCGCCACCAGTCCAGCTGGGCGGAAACTGAAGACTGCCACGCTCCTCGTCACGAGGGCCCTGCGACCGGCGCATCGCGAAGGCCCCGTCGTCACCGTCGTCGCCCGCAGCCCCTCGGGGCCAGCGCCCGCCCGGAGGAAGCGGAGGAAGGAAGGAAGGAGGGAAGGAAGGAAGGAAGGGAGGGAGGGAGGGAGGGAGTGAGGGAGAGAGGGAGAGAGAGAGAGAGAGAGAGAGAGAGAGAGAAAGAGAGAGAGAGAGAAAGAGAGAGAGAGAGAGAGAGAGAGAGACCGGACAAGTAGGCGGACCAGGGTCCGTCCGCGAGGCGCACTGCGGTGCGACAACCCGCAAAACACTATTAGCGGCGGTGCAGCCTTAAGATACGAGGGCGGGCAACAGACCCCCTCCCCCGGCGCATTGCGTCTGAAGCTACGGACAGCGGACAGACTGTGAAGATCTCACGTGTCAGACCGCGTGACGAAGAAGGCCCCAACAAGAAAGGCGACGTGCGGACACGTGGCTAGGCGGCTTGGCAGACCGCCAGTTGGGCGCTTGGCCGCAGCGCGGCGCGCAGGGACGGGGCACCCCCCGCCCCCACGCCCTGACACCGTGGACGCGGGGCCACGCGTGCACACGGGCAGGCAGAATGGCGGAGATTAGCGCGGGGCTCCAGGCGGAGCGCCGCGGAGCGATGACAGCATAGCATGGAGGGTGAGTGGCGGCGCAGCACCATCGGGCGGGGGTGTAAGCAGCTCGGCGAAGGCACGACCGGCGCGGTGGAGGCGCTGGAGCAAAGGGCCTTGACGGGCTTGGGCAGCGGCAAGGTCGGCGGCGAGAGCTGCGCACCTCTGCTGGAGAGCGGCCGTAGACTGGGACAGCTCGGCTTCGCGGTCGGTGCGGGGCGGCTGCTCTGTGCCCGCGGCCGCGGGCCTCGCGGCGGGGACGAGGTCATCGGTGCGCCTGGCCAGGTGGTGGACCAGCGCGGTGCGGCGGTCCGTGCGCTGGCGGCCGTCGCCGTGGCGAGGCGACTGGAGGGTGTCGCGCGGTCCCAGGGCTGAAGCCGCTGGGGCCACGCCCCATGAGGACGGAGGAGCCGCAGCCTCGCAGCCTGCAACAGTAGGAGCGTGGACGGGGCGCGACGGCCTGACTGGCTCAGTGCCCTGCGGGGGGGCTGAAGCCGCCCCCGCGGGCTGGCGCTGGTGGGGGGACGGGGTTGGTGGCACGGAGGGACCAATCATGATGCCGTGCGAGGGCTCAGAGGTCGGCCGCGTGACCGGGTGGCGACTCGATGAAGCGGCATCGTCGGCAGCGTGGGGTGTCGGCGGGACGTCGTCTATGCTGCCACCCAATCCGAGGGGATCATAAAAGTCCTCGTCGGCGTCTTGGAGGTGAGCGACGTCATCATGTGGGTGCGGTGCCGCTCTCGGTGGCGGAGTCGAGGTGGGCGTCGTGCGGATGCCCGACGGGGCAAGGTTGGCGCTGGCTGGCCCGTCGTCCAGGAAGTCAGTCCCCCGCCGAAGCCGAACGGGTCGTCCTCCTGTTCGTCGTACATCGCCGTTGGGCCTCGGCCCAGAGCTCGTCCGGGTTCTGCGGGATGTCTGGTCCAGCCGCGGGTGGTGCCTGGTCCGACAGCAGGGGGTTCGGTTCCATTTTGCTGAGTTCAGCCGCTGTAAACCCAGCCCTGCGGTGTGGGAGCGGCAGAGTACGGTGTCTGCGCTCGTAGATGGCGACAGCGACCCCGTGAAGCACGGTCGCTTGGCGATGTCGTGTTTTGGCAGCTTCAACGATGTCGTCGGGGAGGTTGTGCGTGCGTGCCGCCGCTGTGGCAAGGGCGTCGGCCTGACGGTTGAACTCCTCCGCGATGGGCCCGATGAGCCCAAGGTCGATGCCCAGGTCTCCCAGGTGGCTGGCGACTTTTTCGACGCGAAACATGTCGGGCTTGGCCATGACACATCGGTGAATCATTGCCCAGAGCTCAGCGTGCGTGCCCTGCGGCGCTGGATGTCCGTCGATGATGCTTTGGA